CGGATTTCTGGTTCGCAGAATAATAAACAGAGTCATATTCTCCTCGATTCAGGGATTATAATTGGTGACTTGGGACGCCTTAAAATTCCCAGGTGGCGACTCTAAAACAAATAAACAAATCCCNCCTTTAATTGGAGAAAACTCCCCACGTGCCCCGCGGGCGCGGCGAAAAGGAGGTGTGACACCTCTAAAAAGTTTCTGACGGTTGATTAGACGCACATCTCTCCGCATTTAACGCCCCGAACACGCGTCATCCCACGATGCAACATCACTTTTGCCAGTTATCGAGGTAATTATGGTCATGATTTTAGCCGCCTATACCTTTACTTATACGCATCAAACTTCTTCATACACAGTTCATAATTATTCAAACTTTCTCCAACTCTCTTTACTCAACTTGTACTTTGTCTTCAAGCTTTCTTTAACTTTCTTCTTGAGAGAAAACTTTCCTCCTTTTCATAAAGAATGGCCTCTTCTTCCAGAAACCCTAGATCTTCAAAGAACAAAGGTAAAACTGATGATGTTGCTTGTTGAGTGGTTTTGGTTTTGATGATTGACAAAGGAACACATGCATGAACCAGGTCCATGGACAGTGTACACAGGTGACAGATAGAATCAAGCAAAATGCATGCACGTAAAATGGATAACCACTTATACATTATCCATTTTAACCACTTATACTTATCCATTTTACGTGCATGCATTTTGCTTGATTCTATCTGTCACCTGTGTACACTGCCCATGGACCTGATATGCTTTCTCACATGCTGATATGCTTTCTCACGTCATAGGAGAAGACTATGAGCTATGGGACATTTTCATTGATGGTCCCCAAGCTACCAAAAAGAATAAGGCTGAAGGAGTAGATGTGCCAAAAATGAGAGCTGACTGCAACGTTGAGGACTTGAGGAAATGGGAGAAGAATGCTAAGGCCAAGAAATGACTTGTGTATGGACTTGGTCCAAACGAGTACATCAGAATTCAAAGTTGTACCATTGCTAAGGAAATTTGGGACACTTTCCAAGTGGCTCATGAAGGAACACCTCAAGTGAAGAGGTCCAGAGGAACACTATTGTATTCTCAATATGAGAATTTCACCATGAAGGAACGGAAAACCATCCAGAAGATGTATACAAGGTTCACCACACTGACAAATAAACTTAAGTCTCTTGGAAGGGTTATTCTTGAAGAAGACAAAGTTGAGAAGATTTTGAAAAGGGTTCTGCTACTCGCTTGGGAATGCAAAATCGATGTTATTTAGGAATCAAATAACATCGCCACTCTTAAGTTGGATGAGCTAATTGGAAATCTCACTACCTATGAACTTATAAGGCAAACGATGAAGATGGATGCACCCAAGAAGGAAAGGATCCTAGCACTCAAAATCACTGAAGGTGCTGATCTAGAGGATGATGAAATGGCCATGATCACAAAGGACTTCAAGAAGTACCTAATGAGAGGAAAGGGTCCTTCCAGAAGTGGAAACCACAATAAACCAAGGGTTCCTAAAAAGAAAACCAATGAGGGATGTCACAAGTGTGGGAAGATTGATCACCACAGCAAAACTGCCCTCAATAGGAAATTGAATGGAAGAAGGAAAGAGCTGAAAGTAGAAATAGGAAGAAGGAACAGGTTCATCCCAAGAAGAACAAAGGATTAACAAAGGCTATGGTTGCTGCCTGGAGAGAAATCTCATATGAGGACTCAGAGAATGAAGATGGAGATGAACAAGCACTTATGGCTATTGGAGAACCTGATGAGAAATCTGAGGTCCAAGTAAAGGGAAGCAACCAAATATAGTACATAGATAGTGGTTGCTCAAAGCACATGACATGAAGCAAGAACGAGTTACTTTCACTTGAGGACCTCAAAGGAGGAAATGTCTCCTTTGGAAATGGAAAGAAAGGTGATATCATTGGGGTTGGAAAGGTAGGTAAGACAGACTCTCACTCTATTGAGAATGTCTACTTGATAGATGGCTTGAAATACAGTCTAATTAGTGTATCACAACTGTGTGGCAGAGGTAACTTGGTAGCATTCACCTCTACCAAATGTTTTGTGATAAATCTTACCACTAACAAGATTGTTTTGAAGGAAAAAAGAGTAAATAATATTTACATTGTAGATCTGTCCACACTTTCAAAAAATGAACTCACTTGCTTAAGTGTATTGGACAATGATCCCCTCATGTGGCACAAGAGACTTGAACATGCAAGTCTGAGTCAACTCAACAAATTAGCCTCCAAGGACCTGGTGATAGGACTTTCTAACAACAAGTTTAAAGAAGACAAATTTTGTGAGGCTTGTTCCAGGGGGAAGCAGGTAAGATCCTCTTTTAAATGCAAGAAAGTGGTAAGCACCACCAGAACAATGGAACTGGTCAATATGGATCTATGTGGTCCAGTGAGAACATTAAGCGGAGGTGCTAAAAGATATGTGATGGTGCTTGTTGATGATTACTCTAGGTTTACCTGGACATTATTTTTAACATCTAAAGATGAAATATTTGACATGTTTACTTCTTTTGTTAGAAAAACTCAGAAACAACTAGATAATCAACTTGCATCAATTAGGTCTGATCATATAACTGAATTTGAAAATGCCAAGTTTGCTGAATTTTGTAATATGCATGGCATAAATCATAATTTTTCTGCTCCTAGGACTCCACAACAAAGTGGAGTAGCTGAAAGAAAGAATAGGATCACTACTACAAAAAAGGCCTTTGACGACAATTATTTTGCGGCAAAAAGGCAATTATCGCTAATGGATTCTTTAAGCTAAAATATTAGCGACATTTTACCATTGGCCAGTAAAAGATATTATTTAGTGACAATAAAAAAATTTGCCACTAAATTTTTTATTATTTTAACTTTCTATCTGAACAAAATAAAATAAAATCTTCCCTCCAATTGTTTTGGACAAAAATTAAGTATTCCCTCCAATTAGAAACCAATACGACTTCTGCCAAAAAAGAAAAAAAATAACAAAACCTATTCCCTTTCGACAGTATTTGGCCTGCAAAATCGCTCCGGTTAATAGTCTCTAGTTAACAAAATCAATGTGGCCTGCGACAGCTCCGGCCTGCCACAGCCCCCGGCGATCTTCTTCCCAAATCCCAGGTAAATTTCTCTTCTTCCCCAAGTAAATTTTGAAAAATCTGCTGTCAATCTTCTCCCTCTATCTGTTTTCCCCAAATCTGCAATTTTTTTTTGAAATTTTCCCCAAATTAATTAAGAATGAGAGCTCTGATTTATGGAGCATGAATTTACAGCAGTTTAAGGTAAGAAGAATTCCGTCATGACTGCTAATAATTCAATATCAGTACATAAATTACATATGTCAATGTGTTGCAACTGTAAGGCGGTATCTACTCTTTAAACTTTAGGGGCATATGACGATTAATGCTGAGTTGAATTAGTCATGCTTTTGAATTTCTTGTCTTGTTGTGATGCCATATTGATTCACTACTTCCAGTATTATGGCAAATAGGTTGATATAGTTCTGAACTCTCTCCTAAAATCCGTTCCCTTCATGGAAAATGGGTTCAAGTTATATGTTATTTTTCTTGTAATAAATGCAAAGAAGAAAACATTACAACACTATAGACTTGGACAACTTAAAGAAGAAAATAGAATACCCCTAACTTAATTTTTCTGTTTGCATGTTTTCTTCCATATATATATCGGATATTTTCCAAATCTGCTCGATTATGCTCAATCATCCTTGTCAATCTTCTCCATCTTATCTGTCTTCAACTTCTCTTTTCGTGTAGGTTTCAAGATTGCCGCAGAAATCATTATTCTCTTTCACTTTCTTGTCTTTATCGGCAAAACATTCTGCTTACCAGGTACCAATTTATTGTAACGACCCGACCGGTCGTTTTGAACTTTTGCACTTTGATCGCCAGTTCCCGGGCATGACTTGCCTCGTGTAACGTATTATGACTGATGTAGATCGTTGGTTTTGGTTTTTAGGAAAAATCAGAATAAATTTGAAGGAACAATCTCAGTTGAAAGCTTTGAATTTGAAAGGTTTGACTAAGAGTTGACTTATTTGTATATGAGCTCGGATCGGAAATTTTATGATTTGGATAGTTTCTTTGGGTGATTTATGACTTAGGAGCGCGATCGGAATGCATTTTGGAAGTCCGTGGAAGGATTTGGCTTGAATTGGCAAAGTTAATATTTTGGCGAATTCCGGTTGATAGGTGAGATTTTGATCCAAGGGTCGGAATGGAATTCCGAGAGTTACTGTAGCTTCGTTATGTCATTTGTGATGTGTGTACAAAATTTCAGGTCATTTGGACGTCGTTTGGTCGGTTTTTTGATCTAATTCGAATTTTGGATGATTTGGAATTCTTAGGCTTGAATCCGAGGGTGATTTGATGTTTTGATGTTGTTTTGAGCATTCCGAAGGTTGGAACAAGTTTAAATTATGTTATGGGGTGTGTTGGCATGTTTGGTCGGGGTCCCATGAGGCTCAGATATGTTTTGGAAGAGGTTTTAGAAGATTTTGTCGTTGTGAGCATAAGCATGTAATGATCCAAAGGTCCATTTTTAGTTCTAGAGATCGAAATTTGATTTTGAGACTTCCGGAATTTTGATAATGAATTATAGGACTGATCTGGAAAGTTTGGTCTAATTTCATCAAGCCGCGATTGGGTTTTTGACACGAAACATGAGTTAATTGTTTAACGAGCGAAATGGGTATTGAACTGAGCAAATGAGCTCCGAATTGAGTTTCAACTAAAGGGCTATGTTTGTATTATTATTTGTGACTCATAGGAACAAGAATCATTGAATTCCGAGTTCGTACGATGGAGTTAGAGCTTTTTTAGTGAAAAGAAAAGCTGCTGCAACTTTCTGGGCAGTTTCTCCATTTTTCGCACGTGTGAACAGTAACCGCACCTGTGTGAACAATATCCGTGTACAGTACCATGTATAGTAAACATGAACAGTATCCGTGTACAGTACCCCGTGAATAGTGTAATGAACAGTACCGCGTGAACAGTACCCAAACGCGTGAACAATGCCCCGACATTTTCTGGGCAAATTCTTAAGTTCCCATTTTCTATTTTTATCAAATTGGAGCTCGGGGAGAGGCGATTTTCGGGAGATTTTCAGAGAAAACAACGGGGTAAGTGTTCTTAACTTAATTTTGGTTAGATTACCCGAATCTATTACTAGTTTTGGCATTTAATTGGTGATTTTAGTTGGGAAAATCTTGAAAACCCTCTTGGTTTAATTTGAAGATTTGAGGGTCGAGTTGATGTCGGATTTTAGTAAAATTGGTATGGTTGGACTCGTGGTTGGATGATGTTTCATATTCCGTAATTTTTGTCGAGTTTCGAGACGTGGGCCCCACGGGCGAATTTTGAGTGCAATTTCGTATTTTTAATGAAAAATGTAGAATTTCATATGGAATTAATTCCTATAATTTTATTAACTGAATCGAATTATTGTGGCTAGATTCGAGGCATTCAGAGGTCGATTTGAGAGACAAAGGCATCGCGAGCTAGAGGATTAGCCGATTCGAGGTAAGTAATGATTTTAAATACTGTCCTGAGGGTTTGAAACCCCGGATTATACGTCGTTGTGTTACTTTGAGGTGACTTGCATGCTGGATGACGAGCGTGGGGTAGAGCACCGTTGGAGATTGTGACCTAGTCCATCCCGAACGAATATGTTAATGCGTATTGGATAGTTAATTGTTTGACATTATTATATTTTTGGGTTGTATGCCATGTCTGGGGCCTTGTGCCGACTTGTTGAGACCCTTAGGGGCATTTTTACTATCTTTCCTCACTCTATTTGTTTGAAAGCATATTCTCAGTCATGTTTTACCTGTTTATTGCTCAAATCTGGCTTTATCACTATATTCTTAACATGTGGAAATTGTTTTGGGATGAGTTCCCTGTTTTACTGAGATAGACCGAGAGTCTGATTGTGAGATTGATGACTGAGATAGACTGCGAGTCTGATGGTGAGGTTAATGACTGAGAGAGGCCGAGGGCCTAGTTGTGAGGATTATATATCTATGGATCGGGTTGCACACTGCAACAATGTGTATATATATATAGATCGGGCTGCACGCTGCAGCAATACTTATATGGATCGGGCTGCGCGCGACAGCAATATAGCGTTTGGGCTGTAGGAGCCCCTCCGGAGTCTGCACACCCCCAGTGAGCGCAGTCGACTATTTATATGGACCGGGTTGTGCGCCACAGCGATGCATGGATCGGGCTGCACGCCGCAGCGGTTACTTTGATTTTAGTTATTGTGAGAGATATACGGATCGGGCTGCACGCCGCAGCAGTTACTATATGGTACCAATTGAGCGTGAATGCTGAGTGCGAGTACTGATTGGTAAGAGTTGAGTCACGAGTGACAGAGAGGCTAGCCCGAGGGGCGATAGATATATACATGCATATGAGTGATGTTTTTGCCTGAGAGGCCTGTTTATGGACTTATTGATTTCACTCCTCTTTAAAGTGAATTTCTATCGAATATGTTGATTTATCGACTGTTTTCACTCATCTTTATATTGAGCCTCTGTCGGAAAGTTGAACAAATGTTTTAAAACAACTTTTATTTAAACTGGGGTTTATGAGATGTTCAGAAATTAATCACTGATTTGGCATTGGTTATTTCCACTGAGATTTTTAAGTTATGAAGTGTTTATGATTACTGTTTTGCCCGAGGGGCTGTTTTACAAACTATGTTTTGCCCGAGGGGCCGATTATGGCTTTAATCTCTATTATTATCTTAAATGGTATTGAACCCCTACCGAAACTGCTGGAAAGTATTTCAAAATGATTTTTACTAAAAGCTGGATTTTAAAAGGGAAGATTGACTCGTATTATGATTTGAAGGCCTGTTGTGTTTATGGAGCCTAACGTGAATGTGGATTCATTGTTTCCTACTGCTCAGCCTTTATTTACTCTTATTACTTACTGGGTTGGAGTACTCACATTACTCCCTGCACCTCGTGTGCAGATTCAGGTATATCAGAACCCGGTAGCGGGTGTTGATAGCTCAGTCGCATGACGTTCACAGCACCGCTTCCTTCCCCTCATTGTTGTTACTGTATTTAGTACATTTTTAGACTTTTGTTGTATTCAGACCTTGATAGTTGCTCATGACTAGTGACACCCCGATGTCGGGCTGGTATTTTATTTCGCACTGTTATTCCAGGATTTTATTATGAAACATTGTTTAATTTAAAGACTTAAAAATGACTCTTAAAGCTTAAAGGGTTAAGGTGAGTGTTGTGTCGGCTGGCCTTGTCTTCACGAGAGGCTCCATCACGACCGGACCGGTTTGGGGTCGTGACATTTATGATTTTTGATATCCAACTATGGCATTTTGGAATTTGTGAAAGTTTAGCTTTTTTGTGTTTGCTAAATCGTTTGTGATATTTGGCTGCTGTTAGATTGCTAGTCGATTGATTGAATTGATTTCTCCTCTATTCCTCTATTGTTTTATGAACTATGAAATTTGTCGCTCATGCGGTTATTACTCACAATAATATATATTTAGAATTAAATTTAGTTGAGATAGAATAGATAATTTTTTAAGTATACATGCATAAGCAAGTTTGAGTATCTCTGTTAGGTATACAATGGTACTCTAAAAAAAGAACGCACAGAGCAAAAAATACTATCTAAGCTTATTCTCTATCACTATTGTTAGAGTATCTGAAACTTATATAATGGCTGGAACTTTATCCAGTAGGTTTTTGTACCACAATGTATAGTTGCAAATCTGATCCATATGTAGTGGGTAACAATGTAGCTCTTCTCATTGCTAAATAAACTAGTTTTAGTAATCTAATGACAATGATGGGATATCTTGAGTTTGCCGTTATTTGTTACTTTCAGTGTAAACAGGATCTTACGCGTAGAGCAACAATCTAGATAACTTAAAGGTTTTCCCTGTTCTTATCAATTTACTACGCTGCAAGATACAATTAGTTGAAGTGAGCTATATGATTTTCTCTACATTCAGTCAGTTCTGTTCAAGTCAGAGATCATCAAACTAAAACTATCTTCAGTAGGAAAGAAGTTCTTAACGTGTAAAGGTTGTTAAAATAAAGTTAGCTGTAGCTTTTAGTTTCCTATAACTTAGCACCACACCGATCCAAGTTGGGTAATAGCTGCATGTTACACTTGTAGCATATGTTTGGTTACTTGGTTTTAGTTTTGATTTTTGTACTTGTAGCTTGCAGAGTTATAAAGTTAGCAAAACTTACATGATGTAAGGTCATTCCCATAGTGATCACCAAACAAAGAAATTGATCCTAGCGTTGGATTGACTGGGTATAAAAAGTTAAATTCCAAAAAATGAGGGAGCACAACTCCCTTTTTCTTTGTTCCTTAGCCTGTTAACCCTCCATGAATTATCTGGTTTTAGTAAGTAGGAAAAATTTTAAACACGGTGAAGCATTTTCTATAAACACTTGTGTGTTTGTTGGTTTCTATTGATTTTGTGATGTATCTAAGTGATACGTCAATGCTACTGATAAACTTGCTACTTGTGCATATTTCTGTTTAACACTGTTGTCAATGGTTAGCAGTTAAAGAAAGTCTAATGCTTACTCACACTTCACTCAAGCACCCAAGCTGAAAGAGTCTGCAGAGCTGCCATTAGATGTACACTTTGTACAGGTATAGTCTTAATGTAAGAGCACCTTATCTCATTTGTAGTGACTATGGATTTGGATCTGAAAACATGAGTCCTTGTGGCTTTGGAAGGTTTTAGCTACTCTGGAGGCATTAACACTATGCTCTTTTGGTGTCGATGGAACTCGCCGAAATGAATAATTATCAACTTTTCCAAACATGGCTTAGCTAATTCTACTCGCTAGTCACACATAATCTATTACAGTATTCCTTTAAATAAAATATTGGTTGAGTCAAACATTGGTCACAAATGGATAAATTTTTCTAATCTAACCATTCTAAAGAATACTGAATTCTTCAAACAGTTGGGTTAATGTATACCTTCATCTTTGTCATAATAAACAAAATGGCCTGATTTGAAGGGCCCTTCTTTAGTCCCATTAGTTGATGTCACAAGATGATGTTTTGACTCTTCTTTAGCTTCAGTTTGCTCTTCAACCCTATTATTTGCAGCTACAACCTACTGAATTGACACTTCTTTTTGTTCTTTTCCTTCTTCAGTTTCAACCCATTATTGAAATCTGAAAACTGCTCCCCTGATCTTTCTTGTTCATAATCAAGATCAGATATTTCAGTCCCATTAGCTAAAGTCACAAACTTCTGTTTTGACTTTTCTTTAGCTTCAGTTGTTCCCTATTCTACTCCATTAATTGAAGCTAGAACTTGCTGAATTGACACTTCTTCTGGTTTTGTTTCCTGTTCAACTTCAACCCCATAATTAGAATCTGAAAGTTTCTCTTTTGAATTTTCTTGTACATCACCAAGATCATATTTTTTTTGTTCCATTAGTGATCTTTGGGGAAGAATTTGAATGCCCATTTGTCTGAATTTTCCTATTGGTTACTTCTTTAGTAGCTTTAGAGCTTCTTATTTGAAGACCCCCATCTTGTTGTTGTTATTGTGCATAAACTAAGGTTTTATCATGATATTGTTAACAGATTTCAGAGCATCTCTCATGTGCTTAACCATATAAGTTTTTGTCATTTGATAACCTTCGAGTCTTCCATTCTAGGTAATTCGGAGCCAAGAAAGATTCGTGGGTCTACTTTACTAAAAAATATTTGAAAACTTTTTCTGGGAAAAGTAGTTGATGTGCCGTTTAATAATCGTAACCAAGTTGTTGAGGAAAAAGGTCAAAAGCTTGCTAGCTTTCTAGGAATTATTGCGAGAACTCCAGAACTAACACCTCTACATGCAGGTGATTGGAGAAATTTTAGAAAGGAGGAAAAGAAGAATAGGTAAATGCATTTCATAAGCTTTAGGCATTTTTAATGAAATTCTAATCATATAAAAATATTGTTATCTAACATGTTAATATTTATTAGATCCCTAACGGCAACAGCGGATATGAACGAGTACCACAAACATAAAGGATACCTAGTGTTGCTGAAAATGCTCTACCTTCTTACGGTACTACTCATGTTTGAGTTTTCCTCCTTCAATTTTTATTAATTTATTGTTGTATTTGGGCTTACTTGGATGCTTCTTGCTTTTATATATTTCCGTTTATCACTATTGGTTTCCGTTTCAACAGTATATATCTTTTACATTTGGAAATAATCTTCTGTGTCTTCTTTAGACTATTACAATTAGAAATAGTCTTTTGTGTCTTCTCAACAATATTTTTATTAATTTCTTTCTTTTAGCTAAATAATATATATCTTTTAAAATTATAAATAGCATGAATTTGTGGAGAAAGAAATGTTGTATGCTCACAATTCAATTATATCATATATATATTTATAGCCAGCTTCTTAATTTTCTGTTTGAGAACTCTTGTGATAAAGGAGACTATAGAGTCAAGATTAAATTGATTACAAACCTTTTCCATATGTTGCTGGGCAGGCTCTTCACAATATATATCATTAAAAATACAAATATGTTATTTACAACTACTCTTATGTTCTGAGTCAAATCTTTCCTCCGAATTTTTACAAACCTGAGCACTAAAGCAGTATCATTATTATTTTGTGGTCCTAAGTACCACTATCTTAAGAATCTACTATCATAGGACAAAATAATATTCCGTTATGGGAGAAAAATCTAGTCAAGGAGCAGACATAATAGACTGCATTTTTATAATTTTGTGCATTTTGAACAGTTGCAGTTGCTTATTACGTTATTTGATAAGATAAATGTGTCTTGTCTAGCTGTTCTCACCAATTATTTATTTTTATTTTTTTGATTTTTGAGATACCAACTTGGTAATATAAAATCGTCTCAAGTTAACATGTCATTTTAGGTGGTGTTTTGGTCTTTTACATTATCTTCCATGATTCGCCGGAATTTTCTACAACATTTTGTAACAAGAGATGATAGGAAATCACATTATTTTTATACTTCTATATTATAGAATCTTCCATAGATCCATATATCTATAACATGAGATATTTCAGTTAATTTAAGAAAATAATTAACAATCATGTTGAGGGGATTAATTTTCTGTTTTATCAGGTTCATTTGGAATTTAAACTGATGGCTTAATATTTTTAAGTTTCACAAAATTTAGAATTATCTGATAAGTGATGGTACATATGCTTTAAAGAGTCTTATAGGGAACTCTGCAGCATATGAGTGATCTTTGAATTCCTGTTGTACACATGGTACCAATGTTATCTAAAGGAGAGATAGTAGTAAGTGGTTATTACATGCACAAATGAAAGGAGAAATACTTGTATGGAATGTGAGCTGTCTTAGAGGCTAGTGCAGAAATGACATTCACAAGTGCAGATAATGACTTGTTTATGAATTGTGACAGTGATGAAATCTTCAAGATATTTTTTTCACATTGTATTTTATCTTCTTACATAGTTATTTTATAATTGCAGGTTATACAGTTCGATGTTCGATAATTTAGCAGGTGGAAGATTTCAAAATGATAAAAAATTGTGGAAATCATTTGAAGACCATCATTCTTCTGGATTAGTTATATAATAACATTAGCTATTTAGTTCAAACAATATAAGTTTAGTTACAATGACATTAATATTTTTGATTAGTACTTCCTTTTGTTTGTTAAAATTTGATGAGATATATATATTTTTTTGAATTAATATTAATATATTTTCTTATTTGAGTCATATTATGGATGAATGTAGTAACTATTATTAATGGTGGCTACACTATTGCTATTACCTTTTGTGACTTTTAACGCTAATTTACTTGGATATACCAGCTATATAAATGGACGATAAAGGGCAAATTAAGATGTTTTCACAAGGGATATTGCAGCTAGTATAACTGCTGTAAAACAACTGCCATTAAAGATATTGACTTTTGGCGGCAATTTAGTTAAAGATATTAGCCACTAAAATGGACGCTAAAACGGTAAACTAAAAAGTTTTCAGAAGGGATACTATGACCGTTTTAATTATCACAAAATAATTTCCATTAAATATGCGACCTTTTAGCGGTAATTATTTTGAATTTAGCGGCTATAAAAATGGATGTTAAAGGAGTATAATTAATCATTATGGATTGAATTTAGTAGCCATTATAATTGCCGCAAACAATTACCGTTAAAGATAATAATCTTTAGCGGCAATAAACTATACCTTTTACCAACTTTTGTGACAATAGCCGTTAATAGCGAAATACTAATGGCCGGTAAAAGTGATAGCGGCTATTGTTATTGCCGCTAAAGCCATTTTCTATTGCCGCTAAAGCCCATTTTTGTTATAGTAATACTTGAAGATATGGCTAGGACTATGCTTTTTTCTAGTAAAATGCCCCATAATTTCTGGGCAGAAGCTGGAAATACTACATGCTATATCATCAATAGGTGCATGACTAGACCTCTTGTAGAGAAGACTCCCGATGAGTTACTTAAATGGACAGAACCAAATATATACCATCTTAGGGCATTTGGATGCAAGTGATCTGTGCACAACAATGGTAAAGACTCCCTAGGTTAGTTTGATCCCAGAAGTGATGAGGGAGTATTCTTGGGATATTCTTCACATAGTAAAGCTTATAAGGTATACAAAAAAGGAACTATGTGTGGAAGAATGTGTACATGTAGTTTTGGATGAAACTAACATTCTTTCTGAGAGACAAGAACATGAAGATGAAGCAATTGGGCTGGTAAGAACTTTAAATGAAATCACATCCCAGATTGAAGCTGCACCAGAAGAAGAAACATGTGATGGAATAGGTTCTTCTATTCAGGGCAACCTGATAGGGGGAACTAAACAAAGAGGAACTAAATCTCATACCTCGATGGAACATGTCCATGAACCTATTCCTCAGGAACAAATCATTGGAGAAACATCAAGAGGAAACTAGTTGGTTGTGAAACCTTACAAGTATCAAAGTTCTCATCCCATTGAGAACATAATTACTGATTCAACCTCTGGAATTAAAACCAGATCTTCACTAAAGAATCTTTGTGCTATTGATACTTTCTTAATTTCTTATTGAACCTAAAAATGTTGTTAAGGCTTTTCAGGATGCAAATTGGGTAAATGCAATGCAAGATGAACTCAACCAATTTGAAAGAAGTCAAGTTTGGCATCTGGTACCAAAACCCAATGACATATCAGTAATTGGCAATAATTTGGGTCTTCAGAAACAAATTTGATGAAGATGGAACAAATACAAGGAACAAGGCAAGATTGGTGGTTCAAGGATATATCCAAGAGAAGGGCATAGACTATGATGAGACCTTTGCTCCATTTTCAAGATTGGAAGCAATAAGACTCCTCATAATCTTTGCTGCTTACATAGAATTTACTCTTCACCAGATGGATTTCAAGAGTGCCTACCTCAATGGATATTTAAAGGAAGAAGTGTTTGTCAAGCAACCTCTAGGGTTTCAAAGCAAGGAGTGTCCGGATCATGTGTACAAACTTGACAAGGCACTCTATGGGCTCAAGCAGGCTCCTAGAGCATGGTATGAAAGATTACCAAAATTCCTGCTTGAGCATGGTTACAAGAGAGGTAAAATCGATAACACTTTATTCTTGAAGGAAAAAGGTAAAGATCTTCTAGTAGTACAGATATACGTTGATGATATAATCTTTGGAGCAACTACTGATAAACTAAGTAAGGAATTTGCTAAACTAATGGGGAGTGAACTTGAAATGGCTATGGTGGGTGAGTTTAATTTCTTTTTAGGCTTACAAATTAAACAAAACTCAAATGGAACTATGATCCATCAGCAGAAATATGTGAAAGAGTTACTTAAAAAGTTTAAAATGGAAGAATCAAAAGAAATCGATACTCCTATAGCAACAACCACAAAATTGGATATAGATGAACCTAGTTCATCTGTTGATTAGAAGTTGTATAGGGAAATGATTGGTTCTCTTTTGTATCTTACTACTAGAATACCTAACATTGTTTTCAGTGTAGGTCTTTGTGCTCGGTTTCAGGCAAATCGAAAGGAGTCCCATTTGACTATTGTCAAGAGAATATTGAGATACTTGAAAGGCACCACTGGCCTTTGCCTTTGGTATCTAAAAGGTAGTAATATTAACCTAGTGGGATATGCTGACACTGATTATGCAGGTTTTCTTGCGGATAGGAAGAGCACCTCACTTATGGCACACTTTCTTGGTTCATGTCTTGTGTCATGGGCTACCAAAAAGCAAAATTTGGTGGCCTTATCTACTACTGAAGTTGAGTATGTTGTTGATGCTTCATGTTGTGCTCAATTGTTGTGTATCGAACAACAATTATTAGACTTTGAAATTGATGTTGGTTGTATCCCCATATTTTTGTTATAACACTAGTGCCATTAGTATGATAAAGAACCTAGTTCATTATAAGAGAACTAAGCACATAGATGTTAGGCACCATTGTTTAAGGGACAACTATGAGAAAAGCTTGATCACTGTGGAGTTTTGTGCTACTAACAAGTAAATTGCTGACATCTTCACAAAAGCCTTAAGTAGAGATCAATTTGAAAGGAACAGGTTGGAATTAGCGATGATTAAGATCACCTAAAAGGACCAGTTCAAGGTTAAACGGAAAAAAATTGAAAAAAAAAAATTGGTTAGAAAGTCTGTAAATTGTGTATAATTAGATTAAATCTTGCTCAGTCTCATACTTTCAATAGTATACTCTTGTGCCATGTGTTAAAATGACTCATTAATCTCTAATGATATTTTCTATATTTTGGCAAATTTAGACTTACACAAAAAAATTATCGGTGAATAACCCGGTTCATCAAGATGACACGATATGTTTTCTACACTCTGCATAATTTGGAATAATAATATTTGTCATGAGCAGAGTCCTACCTAAGCTAAAATTTCTTTTGAACTTATCCATTACAAGTGAACCAGTTCCGTTCAAGATTCCTAACCGTATTAAACTACCTAGATTCTTTTAAGTCTGCTACTGAGAGGGAAGAAAGTGGTTCTTCGAAACTGAGCAGGTATCTTCTGATTCTAAATTTGCTCCTAAGACAATTTAGTGCGGTGAAGTTGCTGAAAATTTGGAGAATAGATTCGTAGGATCTATAACAGGTGTTAAGACTACAGAAACTGGAGAAGTTAGTGGTAAAAATGTAAAAGAAAAAAGGAGAGCAAGGGTGCTAGGAGTACTGTGAAGGGAAATGAGACAAGAGTGGCTGATTCTTCACCCACTCCTGTGAGTTTAACCAAAGATACAAGTGCAATGATTATTTGGGGAGATGAACCCGGTTCATCTGTAGAGGAAACTCTCGTAGACCTGCTGAAGAAAGTGACTGAAAGCTATAATCCAGCTTCTTGATAGAGTTATCAATGGCACCAAAACTCATATTATTCCCTATGGTTTCATTCTCACAATTGTGCTTGCACATTTCAATGTACCTATGAAGAAGCGGGAGGTTAGTACAAGCAAGGATCATTTTGGGGTTAATACTCTGCTTGCTTGCGATTATGAAGTCAATGCCACTCCTAAAGAACCTGGTTCATCCAAAAAGGTACCAGTGAATAGCATGGTCAGAGCCTTGGTGCAAGAAAGTGGGACTAAGAATGTTAAGATAGAAAGGCTGAAGACAAGGTTGGCTGAGGTAGAATCTGAGAGAGATGCTCTCAGAACTGAACTTTCAAGGGAAAAGGAGAAGAATGATGGAATTCTTCAAGACATGCTGAAACTTCTCCAAGCCAATAACCCAGCACCTAGTTCTTCCAAGCCTTAACTTCCTAGCCTAGTGTAGTTCCTTCAGTGACCTAGTTTGGGATGGTTTTCTGTTTGCTCATGTTTTTAGTATTTTTATTTTCTTTTATGCTTTGTGGAAGAATCATATCACCTATCAATGAAATCAATGAAATCTGCTAGTTTTTTCTCTAATTGTTTGTTTATATTTCTTTGATGGTTGAAATTCTTAGCTTGATCGATGATGATTAATCCATGATTGCATTTGGGATAGCCCTAGTGGCCATGAGTGATATCTGATAAAATCTGGTTATCTAACATAATTATGCAACTTTTCAATGATGCCAAAAGGAGGAAGATAAGGTGTGCTTTCGCTTTAGACTGTGATGTTTATAACCTAATGAACCTTGTCCTTGATGATTTGTGACTTTAAATGGAAAACAATCTTATAGTATGATTGATGTTGTGCTGAGCTAAAACAGGTTCCATGCTTTTGAAAAGCACATAGTTTGTCATCATCAAAAAGGGAATTTTTTTGAGTGGTTTTGGTTTTGATGATTGACAAAGGAACACATGCATGAACCAGGTCTATGGACAGTGTACACAGGTGACAGACATAATCAAGCAAAAAGCATGCACGTGAAGGGATAAGTATAAGTGGTTATATCTGATATTCCCTGAACGAAAAGGTTGCATATTTGATAAGGAGGAGGACTCTTTACTTGAGAAAAATCCATCCAAGACAAGGGAAGAATTAGAAGTCGAAGATAACTAGAACTCTTCCACCAAGGAAGAGTAAAGCATTAGACTTCTAGTTAATTTTTATTTACTAACTCTATATATATCAGTTGTCTTCTCTTTTACAGGTGATGCACACATACTGAAGTAAAGCAAGAATTGAGAGCAAAATAGCAAGGCATTTTGTGAGCAATTCCTGTGAGTTTAAAGAGTGCGATCTTGAAGCTACACGAACCAGATTGAAAAACCAGCTCCATAAAGAGTTTTAAGTGTTTGTCTTTTATTCT